GGGGGGGGGGCCCTGGTCGCGGTGTCGGAATCCCGACCCCACTGGCAGGACCCCCCTCCCCCTGGCTGCAGCGGGCCTTTTTCGGCCGCGGCCGTTGCGGTCATGACCGCGGCCCCGCGGCCGCTGGGGATACATAGCCTTTCAACTTTTCTCAAAAAAGATCCTTGTTGAAGCTGTTATTGTCCTTATGGGACGTTGGACAAGGTTTCCACCACATGCTGCTCCCCAAGAATAGATTGGAGCATTTGTATTAAAAAAAAAAAAAAAAAGATAGCTCCACCTGCCCTGTTGTCTGTCCCATTTTACTTGCATTGGTTCAATCCGTGATGAGGGGGGAGTCCATATTGCCACCCCGATGGAGGCTGAGGATCTGGCCGCAGTGGCCGGTGCTTAGTAGGCTGTGTAGGGCCATATACATCTGCCTTTGGCTGTGTGATTTGGGGATTCAATGTGGTGTGTTTCTTGAAGACACATAGCTTCTGGCCATCGGCGGATGGAAGAATTTTGTATCATATTCCAAATAGCATCTTTTTTGGCCTGCGTGGACGATCCTAATCCGTTCACATCTATCAAGCGGATATCAATGTCAGCCTGGCTCAATTTCTTTTCCCAGGCGGGGGGCCTGCGCAGCAGGGAGGGGACTGGAGGGGACGGGGGGGGGAGTGCGGGGTGGTGTGGGTGGTGGTGAGTCCTTTGAGGGAAGGGGAGGGCTGGCTGGTTTGGGTGGTGGCGGGGATAGCGGTATGAGGTGAACGGGGTGCAGGCCGTCCCGCCGAAAGGCCATTTTGGGTAGGTGTAGGCTGCTGTCGGACTCTATCCATTTTGTTGTGGCTGGTTTATTTCACTCCCTCGAGTATCTGAGGGATGGGTCCAGCGGTTGCACAAAGGGGGTGTCGTCCCACTGATTGTGGGCATCCAGGAGGTCTTCCTCCAGTATTATTTGTAAAAATTTGAGCAGGTGTGTTGCTGTCCACGTCCCATTCGTTTTGATTGCTGCAGATGCAGTGTCCAACAATTGGTCCTTAGTCAGCCGTTTGAGAGCTTGATGTTTGTGCTATTTGTCATGGTTAAACCAGGTACCTCGTCCACTTGAAAAAGCTGACATGGTCGTTAACGCGCCCCGTCGGGCAGGGTACCCAACGTCGAACGACTGGCATTCCCAAAAAAAAAGGTAAAAAAAAAAAAAAAAAAAAAAAAAAAAACGAAAAAAAAAAACGGGCGTGGTAGGGGGGGAAAGGGGGGAAAGTGGGGAAAGAACAAGAGAGAGAGAGAGAGAGAGAGAGAGAGAGAGAGAGAGAGAGAGAGAGAGAGAGAGAGAGAGAGAGAGAGGGACGGATTCAATTACGAAAAGAAATGCGGGCGCATCTGCCCATGTTCTGGCGCGAAGTTCATTCTCATATTGCACATTTCAAGAGTTGTCCAGGGGGGAGGGGGGATGCGCAGCGTCCTATGCCGAGTTTGGTGCGTCAGACTCTCTGACGCCCTCTCTCTCTCTCTCTCTCTCTCTCTCTCTCTCTCTCTCTCTCTCTCTCTCTATCTCTCTCTCTCTCTCTCTCTCTCTCTGAGTGAACCTCTCACGAGAATGAATCTTCCTCTTTCTTGAGGAAGATTCATTCTCGTTGGGCATGTCTGATTTCCTTCTCTTTCTTTTGTTGCTGAATAATTTATTTATTTTTTTTGTTATATGTTTTTTGTGTGTTTTTTTCTTCTTTGTTTGTTTGTGATGTACTACCCGTCATCCGAGGATCGGCAATAAAGTCCGAGGCTCGGGAATGATCGGGCTACCGGTAGCCCGAGCCTCGGACTTGATAGCTGAGCGAGGTACTAGTGGTTTAAAGAGCAAGATCACGGGGGTGACACCCTCGGGAAATGAGAGAAACGCCGATCCCATAACCCCCACATCATTTTTTCCTTTTATCAAAAGCCTGATTTTGGGAGGGGGTTCCTGTCCAACCCTCCAGGGTGATTCCTTGCAGAGCAGAGTATCCTTTTGTAGTGCCAGTCTGGAAATCTTCAAACCTACCTACTTAAACCACCAGTACTTGCCCTAGCTATCGATGCCAAGCCTGGAATGCCCCTGCGCGCCGATTTTCGCCGAAGCGCCGGGGTACCGTTTCAAAATTGTTTTGGCTGGCGCTTTCAGCCATTGAGGTCCAGTACCCCGAAGCCCTAAAGGTGCGGCGCGTTAACGGGAAAGCGCCGCGGCCGATAGCTGGGACAAGTGCTGGTGGTTTGAGTGCTCATCCCTAGTTGCCATTTGCCTTGGGCACTAGGCTATGTACCACCCGGGCTGCTGCCGCAGGGTCGATCAGGGCCGAGATCTAGGCCGCGGCTGTGGGACTTCGGGGATTTTTCCCGACTGAGATACTGGGAGGGGGGAAAAATATATATATGGAGTTGTAGGGTTTCTCAAACCCCACAACCCCATATTTGTTTTTTTCAAACCGCTTATATTTTTGGCAAAAACAAAAAAGAGAAAACGAAAAAAGAGAAAAGATAAATACAAAAAGTTCCTTTTGTTTTTCATTTTTGTTTGTGAGCGTGTGTGTGTGTGTGTGTGTGTGTGTGTGTGTGTGTGTGTGTGTGTGTGTGCGTGTGTGTGTGCGTGTGTGTGTGCGTGCATGCATGCGTG